CCTGCTGATTATTTCAGGTCAGCCTTTGAGTCTACGGAACTAATTAAAACAATAACCATTGGGTTCTACTTGAAGTAGAAGAAAGATAGTTAGCATCTAAATCCAGGGCTCACTATGGACACCATAGAGAGGTAAGGGAGGAATGAGAAAATAGTAAAAAATAAATTTAAAAAGCACGTTTTATAAAAAAGTCCTTCTACAGTTACATGCAGATTGTTTTTCATCAAGAAAGCCAGTTAAAGAGTATTACTTACTTTCCTGAAAGGGATTTTCTTTGCTCATGGCAGCTAGCCTCAAGTATTTCATGAAATTTAGAGTTTCCGAACCTTGGTTTATCAACCTATGCATAATTTATTAACTGTGAAATTTTTGTAATTACAAGTATATAAAACCCCCCAAAATTAAGTAGGAAATACAACTTTCAGTGGCTTGCTTTAGTATTTGGACAAAACTATCAGCATTTAGGCTGAAGAGATGAGATTATAACTTACAGCTTTTCTCTGTTTGGAAGGAGAGGCTTTATTGAATATTAGATGTTAAGGAAGATTAAAATCTTGATTAATTTCTTGTTTTCTGTCTTGAATGTAAAGAACTGTGAGCCATACACAGTAATCACTACATGGAGCAATTTCGTGCAAGCACTTATTAGGTAATTCTTTAAGTATCTACCTTCATTGCATTTCTATTTCATCTAATCATTAAAGCCTGGATGCTATGGATGTGTGGCATTTTGCAGACATACGCAGTCCTGCTCCTAAGTAGCTGTGTTTGTCCTGGGCTAAGGCACAGACTGTACTTACTGGCACCCCTTGTCACAGTAAAACAGCTACACGGCTTTCCTGCGGCCGCTCAGAGTGCGGTTAGAGCAAGTACGCACCCACACATAACAGGTCTGGTAGAGTTCAGGAAAACAATAGACATTGGAACAACGGAACAGAAGAGTTAAATGCAAGAAGATCCTGTTTGACATGAAAAACCTCCTGAGGGCTTGGCTTCACACAAAATAGAATAATGTCACAAAATCAGGAAGGCTCTTTAGAGAATGAGTAGATTTTACAGCATTAAGTCTAACCTGCACATGGTTTAGTTCAATTACTTTTTCATAGTATTACGTTTCATTTATATTTGTATCACTTAATCCATTTTCCTTCCAGGAGAACACAGCAAACAGTAACACTGCATCTATCAATTTTAATCATGTTAGTTTATAAGACGAATAGGAAATCCTTACACTGAAAGCTTTAAAACACATTTGTTTTGGTAGGAACTCACTCACCTCAACATACTACTAACTTGAATAATTACACTAGAACAAGCTGTGGACATGCCTGAAACTTAAGCAAACTGAGGCTGAATTTTGTATTTTACTGTGCTTGCAAGTCAGGTGGAAATTGTTCTTCCCGTGCCATTTCATCACAGCATGTCAGCTCTTTCACAGCTCTCACAATCAGCACTACTGCTAGCATTTTCATTTTCTCCTCCTCCATGAAAAGAAATCTCAGAACTCTGTTATGAATTGTTTCTAAGGAGTGCTACGAAGAGTATGCATGAACTTATACCAGAAATTCAGCTGTAAAACAACGATCCTTTCTTTAATGGCATCATGCATCAAGTTTCAAAAGACAGGTTGTTTTTTTCTTATATTATAACAGAGATAATTATGACTCAAATTCTAACTATGTTTGCTTTCACCTGCAGAATAGGAACTGTTCTAAATTATTCTATAAAATGTCAACGGTCAACACTGTAAACAGCTGTTTATACAACAGCAAGTAGTAATAAATAGAATAGAGTTCTTAATGCAAAAAGGTAAAACAAAGTACTTTTGTTATTAAATCTGGTGGATTTTTTATTCCCATAAAAAACAAATATAGCGGTTGAAAAAAATACAAAGCTTTTCAAACCAAGTCAAGCTATATTCCTTTTAGCAATGAAACATAATAAATATGCATATAAAATATAAAACCTTTTTTCATTTAAATTTTAAAAAAAATTTAAAACTTTCAGGATAAAAGTTTCAAAACTTGCTACTGTGCTTGAGAATTGAGTCTATATAAGTACACTGCCCAAAGTCCTTCTGCTGTGTAGATATATGTGTGTGTGTGTGTGCACGTTAGGCAGTGTAACGCTTTTCTTCTAATTGGAAGTGCTCTGCCTCGGCAGTTTCTAGGAAGGTGTGAACAGCACCCAGGTAGTACCTCTACTTGCCAGTCTTCTCCAAAACCCATTCAATCACCTGGGAAAATAAATGAGAAAACAAACAATTTACATAACTCCAGGTGTTAAAAGCAACTTAAGAACATCTCATACACTTTATCAATTCTTCCTTTATCACCATCTGTGCGGTATTTACTAACCAGGATTTAAAAATAACCCATCCAAAAGGAGAAAGAGTTGTTAAGCTGAGAGGATACAGCATTACCCAAGAATTCTATTTAATTTTACAGAATGCTTTGTCTTTAGAAAAAGGCGGTTTTAGATCCCCTGAACTGAACTACTTCACCCCACCGTCTCCATGTACTAGCACCCAGGTGCACACACAATGCCAAACAGCTAGTATTTGCAGCACAAAAAATTCCTAATGCCACAGAAGAAAGAAGAAAGGATGATTTATGCACTGCTGTATCTACCACCATTATGACTGATGTCTCCCAAACAGAGTAGTTGTTAAGACCACTGACTAGTCCTGGGCAATTATATTTTTTATAACATAGTTTCAAAGTATTCTCTAATACAGGGAGAGGTGACCAGCTTAACAGATCCCCAATTTGAATGCCTCTTTTGCCATAAAACATACACATAAAACTACCAGTTGTCTCCCCAAAGACGGTGGTGAGAAACAATATCCCACTTCAACACCAAACCTCACAACCCATCTAAGTTTTGGAAACGTTATGATCTGTAGGAAGCAATTCACCAGAGAACACAGTACAGAACACAATAAATACTGCTCTCAGAATAAATTCTGTGGGGATGTAGCAGTTTTCCTTAAGAGTTTGGGTTTTCTTATTTAACTACCCCAGTCTAAATCCTTCCATTTAATTTATGATTCTGAAAACTGTACTGTAAATATGCACAATACTTTTTTTTTGGTTTTTTTTTGTTTTTTAAAAAAACCATGGAGTCACTTCAGCATGTTTTTCAGAACCTAAATCAGAGTCACTTGATTTCTGGAGGACAGGATTATTTACTCCTGTCATTTGCTCTGTGCTGCTGTTCACCTAAGTCCTACCTTACACACACACAAGCTCATCTGATATCCCTTATGCTAACAGTTATTCCCAAGCTTAAAATTACCAATTTTCATTGCTTTTTTTAAGGGATTTATTTCCTTTTACAGATCCCTTTATTACTTCCTAACCTTTGTAAAGAAATGTTATTTCCTTTAATACAAGGAAAGAATTCCCTAATGATCCAGGCTTCTCTCAAATGAAGAAAACTCTCATCTCTTTTTTTTTTCAGCAATGTGGAAAAATCTATTGCCTTCATTTCCATTTCTCACTGTGGCACATCATATTGGCAGCTATAACTAGAATACCATCTAAAACCTGATTATATGCAATTGGAAATTTTGCCATGTGACTACTGATCGAGATAAAGTTTTTGTGAGATCAGAGAGTGAAACAAGACCCACAGCCATAGGAATGCATCTCTTCATCTCTTACAGCTGTGGACTAAACCATCCTACAGCCAAGCTGTCACAGCTATATTTAGCCTTGGCTAGTTACAGGAACAAATAAACAAATGGTCTTACCTGTTTAACATTGTTATTTGCTGTTTTCTTCATTTCATCAAGAAGTCCTCTAGAAGTTTTAAGATCCTAAATATGAAACACAAAGCTACAGAAATTAGCAAACTCATGCTCACTCTAATTTGGATTATAAGAGCCCTAATAACCAGGGGGGAGGTTTACCCTTTTATCACCTTGTTCAGAATCACAGAAGAATTATTTGACTTTGCTTTATTTTTTTAAAAAAGAAATAATCTAAATCTATTCCAATGGGTTGCAGCTTTCCCTACAGCGGTCTAAACCTAGTACTCAAGTGTACGATTGAGTCACACTTTTCTGAACCTTCCGCACACTTCCAGAAATGTGGTGTTTTGTTGCTTTTTTTTTTCATTAAATGATATTCAAAGTTCTTACAGTCTTGATTAAAATCTTCTTTCTATATAAACACAGAAATCAACTGTGCGCTTAGATTGCAACACAGAATTCTGGCAAAGAACAACAAAGAGGGTGTGGAGAAAGAACATCAGTGAAAGAAAGGAAAAACCTAGAATGCCTTGTCTGTTTTGCAGTCCAACTAGCCGAGCCTAATCCACTCTCAAGCAAAGTAAGCACATAACTTTGCCTAAAGAGAAAGGAAAACTAAGAAAATTCATTTCCTACTTGTCTCCAAAAGGAAATGATACCTAGGATATCATGCTTCTGAAGCTGCATCACAGAAAAGGATTCAAAGGTCTCCTACAGACTTGAGGCTGCAAGACAGTTCAGGAGAACAAAATCCCGCTACACCTTTCTCTAGATCAGCTGTCTGAAGGACAAGGTCACTGCAGTACTTTCTTTTGTTCTTCTACTTGGAACGGAACTGCAAACCCATCTGATTTGCCCTACTCACTCATCTCTACATGCAGCTCTTTCTGATTTTGGATTAGAAAATCTTCCTTTAGGGTGTATTTCAGGGAGATTTTGGGAGTGCTTACAGAATGACTGCACAACTGTGTTCTAATTATTTAAGAAGTTGGTGCTCATCAGCAAGATGTTCTAATTGCGTGCGTAAGCATTCAGCTCTCTTCAACTGCAACTCCATTTAGCTTAAATCACCTTTACTGAAGTTGACTAAACTGAGTTAGTCCACAAGTAGTGGTAGGCTAAAGGCATGCAAATGAACAGAAACAGCAGCTCAGCTTGTGAGCAATAGCTTTTAAACACCTTGTACTGTAATTTAACTCGATTCTGTGCCCAGACTAAGTAACATGGGCTCAAGCATTGATTCACAAAGTCTCCTAGGTATTATGCAAAGAATTCTCACCTCCTACTAAAAATGAGGTTGATGTAATTCTACAGGGTGCTGCCAAGTCAGTATGTGTTAGATAGTTGTGCACTTTTACAGTGCATTTACAAGGACTTCCGTGAGCGTGTCAGGAAACTAGAATTTCTGAGTCAGTTGGTAAGCTACCTATTGAGCCAATAGCCTTAGAACAAAGGAGAAGCTGAGCTGTCACAGCTATGGCTGGGAGGTAGCTACAACAGCTAAGGAAGCAACATACTGTAAGCATGACCTTACCTAACAGACCACTGGTTTAACATGTTATCTCACATAAAAGATACTGCTTATAAGGTTTAAAAACAAATAAACAACCACCAAAATATACTGTAGAACTAGGTTCTGATTTTGACAAGTGCAAAGGTTTATCCATACACTCTACACTCTACTAACACACCACTAGGAAATATTAGCTTAATCAAGTCTGAATATTCCACAGTCCATCTCAAGTTTTATTCAGGAATGGATTCATTTAACTAAGAACAAACAACTGTAAGAGCGTGTCTTCTAGTTACCTTTAAGTAGAACTTTGATATCTCAAATAGACGCTGGCTGCATGATGCAAAGCACTTGTGATCCTCTGCAATTCCATGGTTTTGAAGAGTCTTAGCAACCACCTCCTTCAGCATCTTGGAAACAACAGAAACACATTCAAAGTTCATCTCAATTACTGGCATGAGAAATTATCCAAGGGAAGGAAAAAAAAAGGAAAAGAACACCTGATCTTTTTTGATCTTGTCAAAACAATGTAAAGGATGAGTGAATATTCACATAGGGCTTGGAAAACAGAAAAAATTTATAATGGCTTAGGTTTTCTCTTCTCCAAAATACTCTCTCTTTCCAAAAATATAACTTTTCTTTATATTGCTATTCCCTTGACACGTCCATATTAAAAAAATAATTTAAAAAAATCAGACACTACAGTAAGATTAGAAAATTTACTGACATTCTTTGTATCAGAGATGTTTAAATTTTGCTGAAGGTCTGAATGAGTCACACCAATTTCGAATTACTTGGGTCATCCCAACTTGCCTTTGACAGTACAACATCAACATTCATGCAGTGTCCTCTCCAGGACCGTGGGATCAACTTAAAATTACTGTCACCAAGGCAGAAACAGTTTTGTGTACTGTATTTTAAAAGTGGCATTCCTAATATATACAGCTATTAATGAAACATTATTGCACCAAAGTATTTAAATGTTATCTCAATTAATGGACTTGTACAACTATTGGAACATCTTTTTATTCTCAGAACAGTCTGTTCTTCCACAATGGCTTTGACCCTTCCAGCACAGATATTTCTTAGGTGCCTTTAGGATTTATACTAATTTTGTACATTTCATAACTCTAATTCATTGATATCCATTCCCACTTCTTTTAATTCCTAGTTGTTATCTGTCTCAGCCTTAATTCCCTGGGCATAATATAATACTCCTTACATACTCTTTCACTCCTTGCTTCTGAAGCACTCAGTGCCTTCAGGATTCACTTACACAAGCAAACAGAATGAAATTTAATAACAACAAATAGGGATGAAGACAGTTCACTTTGTCCTAAAAAATTTTAAAAAAACAAGTCACATGGAAAGAAGTTAAGCACATGCTTTTTCACTAAGCAAACAACACAGACCCTTACCCTTGTATGTTTCTGGGATCTTGATTCCTTAGTTGGCTTTGAAGTCTCAGATTCGGTTGCACTTACGTGACTTGCTGAGCCAACCTTGGTGGTTACTTTGTGGGGCTGAGCAGGCTGTTTCAATGGCATCGAAGCTAAAGAAACGGATCTTTCAGAGTGCTTCCTCCTTATACCAACTGTATAGTGACTCCCACTACTTCCGCTTGCCTGAGAGAGGAGGGAATCTGTACTCTCAGATTTGGTTAGCCTGGAAAGAAAAACAAAAAGATAAAAAGAACTTTTAGATTTTGTCCTGACTCTTTTGGAGCCTTTGTTTCTGCTATAGAGGCTGCTGCTAAGAGAATTAAGTACTGTACATTCTTGCAAACAGCATCTGAAAACAGCAGACAGGATTCTACTATGTAACACTTTACTGATGTTATTTGATCTCTGATATGTAGACTCATTGCACCTCTGATTAAAAAAGTCTAGTAACGAACTGAAGAAATGAGATAACTAGGAAGATAAACACTTTGGAAGAAGGGGTAGTTTTGCGTATGGACCCTTCATCTAGATAGCTAGGAACAGCAAAGTTGGCTGGCCTTCAGTCTCAGGATAAGACAAAACTTCCTGAACTATCTAATTTCTTTCGGCCCTACAGGAATGTCACAACTCATCTTTAACTATGGGAAGTTGGGCATTACAATTCTACTGGAACATTGTAACGCTTGATCCTTCAACTGTAAAAGTGTTGGAAACTCCAGTTTATGAAGTGCTAAGAATAATCACATCTTCTTTTTTAACTATTCAGTAAGCTGCAAAAGATACGGACATTCCTAAAACCATACCTCTGTTAAAGGTTTACTGCAATTAGATTGCAAAGGGTATCAAACTGGAAAGAAGGAAGAAGTGAAGTACTACAGTAATTACAGTGAATTCGGAAGTAGTGTTACATAGCAGTTATTTTTTATTGATGGAAAGAGTTTGCATCTTCATAGTAAGGACAAGGTACAAAGGGAAGTCTTAAAAACTAGACTTCCAGAATAGACTTTAATAAACAAGGCTGACAATAAGTTTGAAATTTGGTAGGTCATCTTATACCAGCAGTCCTTTGCATTGGGAATTCAATTATTCTGTTTGTACAGTGCTTGGCTTTCTAAACCTTTAGTTTTTTATTTCTACTGCAACAGCACTGACAGTTTCGGTCCTAGATGAGGCTATCTGTCATCTTTTCAAAGGCACTTGAGATTTTGCAAGATACAGCCCCAAATCTCTTAAATAAAAGGTGCCTGTGCTGCATGGTTTTGATTAATCTAATGCTATCAATAAGAGGTCACACCTGAGGAAAAAAAAAAATGAAGCTACAGAAGAAGATTAAACAACTGTAACATTTGTCTAGATAGCTTCACTAAAAACATCTCGAGATGAAAGAAAATATGCATTTCACAAGAGAATACTGAAATAATTCAAGCTAAAGATTTATTTTATTCAGTGCTTACCTTTTCTTGGGATAAAAGCAATCCAAGTCTTTTGATCTACATTTTAGCCTTGATGCCTCTGTTTTGAATTCGCTTTGTAAAGACTCTCCATCAGGGACACTTCCAGGCTCTGACAAGACTACGGGAGATGGGAGAGGGCTCAAGACAACTGGCACAGGGCAGCACTCCTTGGTGCAAGTAGTCTGAGTTTCATAGCGAATAAGACGAGTTTGGAGTTCAGCATATCCCACGTCTCTCTCCAAGGCTCTTCTGTTATCTAGGCAGTACCTAAAATTGAAATTGGTGAGAAATCTGTGAGAGAAAGTCTCTGCTTTATTACAATCAGAAAAAAAAAAAAAAAAAACCAAAACAGAACAATTTACTTGTGACAACCATGTAAGCTCCAAAACTTTGTTTGGACTCATGTATTGTTCTGAAAGATACCTTAAAACAGCCCAGTAAATCAGCATATGCCTGATGGATTTAGCTATATTTAAGTTTAACTCCAATGAAGTAGCTGAATCATAGACTATTTCTAAGTCTTTACCCTGTGGTCTTACAAATAAGATTTGCATGGACATTAGCAGAATTTTCTCCTTGAATAATAAGTGATGCATTAGGATGCTGACAATGGATTTTTTTGCTCCTCATAGTCAGCTCGGTGTTACATTTGTATCATCAGTCTCTCTATTTTAGATTTTACTGCTTTTCATATTCAGTCCATACTTAACAGATGTTACCCCTATTAGCATGCTAACCAGTGTGAAACTCCAATAAAACAGAAATGAGGATAGCTCTGAACCCAAATACATGATGAACCCAGCATACCATAATGGATACAATATCTTCAGACCTCAGACCTTGCAAGCATCCACCAAAACTCTGAGATCCAGAAAGTATCAGGTTATTATAAATAAATTGATACAGTCTAATACGATAATAACAATATGCCTCCATCTCTTCCTGGGAGAATGCAACTTTCCTACTCAAAAAAACCCAACCAAATCAAGCCAAAAAAAACCCAAAACAATCCAAGATTTCTTCAGTGCATAAGCCTTAAGAGAATCACATAGGAAACACCTGAAGAAAACATCCCGAAGTACAATCTAGGTAATTTGCAAGTTACAAGTACTTCAGGAATCCCAAAATGCAATGATATTAACATAATTTTAGGACAAGTGTGGTTGTACCAAAAACTATGTTGCTGTGCGATTGTAATAACTGAGTGTTTATGAGGAAGACAGGGCATGGTAAGTGTTTTAAATGCTAACTGTATTCTTTAGAAATGCAACCTTTAGCTTTGTCCGGGTCAAGCACTGCTATATGAGAGACTCACATTTTTTAAATGCTAAAAATACAAAAGTGTCACTGAACAAGGACAAGTTTTCCAGCTTCCTATTGATTACAAAGAATAAGTGGTTTAATCAACCAAGTCAAAAGAAGAAACTGTATTAAATACAGTGGGCCTGAAAGAGAACAAACAGCGCTAACTCAGTGAAACATGAGATTACAACAATACAACATGCATCCTAACTAACTTTTCTCTTGCGTACATGATTTCTAAAATTCCTTGCAAGAGGTCAATGTTTTATCGCCCAGTAACTTACATTACCTCTACTGCAGGGAAAGACAAGAGTATTATCCAATATTATTCCATCCTTTTCTTAAGAAGCATGCTGAACAACATGAGCTATCCCTCAGCCCACCCTCCAAACTACCCAGCAACATTTCCTACTCTTAGGAACTCCAGACATACTCTACTTTTATCTCTCAACACAGAGTCATGTTAAATTGCCAGATCTGATTTTTCCGCTTTCTTCAGAGTATTTTCATATTCAGGGAGAAATTCACTTTTCTAATAACAGACTGTTGAATCCATTTCTACAGCTGAATAAGACTTTCCACTAGAAATAAATTCATTATCTGATAAGAGTAAGTTCTCTTAACTTACAAATTTCAAGGTATTTAATTTTCCTTATTTATATTCTCAGTCCCCTGAGTAATCACATCCCTTACAAAGATAAAAATGTTTTTATCTTTAGAAGTTAAATTGCCATTTTACTCAGTCTGCTTTAACGGCAATTACTTTCTCTTTGCAACACAGGATTCAAGTGTTTGGCACAGGTTCATTACACCAGAAATTTGATTTAATCATAACTGCTACTCCTGGTTTTGTTGACAAGACTTTACTTTCATATATAAACACAGCAGCTACACAGATGGAAACTGCAATCACAACTGCATGGTACAAAACACATCTGCTCCAAAAGACCACAGATACTCTTGCTACAATATATTCTGGTCATACAGCCATAGGTTCCTTCCTTTCACACTAGTTTCTACCATCTCACTCTACTGCTTCCCTCCTTTATTACTAGCACATTCCCCTTGTAACATTAATAAATGACTGCTTCACTTCAGAGAATTATAGAATGGTTTGGGTTGGAAGGGACCTTAAAGATCATCCAGTTCCAACCCCCCTGCCATGGACAGGGACACCTTCTACTAGAATAGATTGCACAAAGCCCCATCCAACCTGGCCTTGAACACTTCCAGGGACAGGTTATCCACAGCTTCTCTGGGCAACCTGTTCCAGGGCCTCACCACCCTCACAGTGAAGAACTTCCTTATATCTAATCTAAATCTTCCCTCTTCCAGTTTAGAGGTGTTGCCCCTCCCCTTGTCCTATCACTACATGCCCTTCTAAAAAGTCCCTCCCCAGCTTCCTTGTAGGCCCCTTTAGGTACTGGAAGGCTGCTCTAAGGTCTCCCTGGAGACTTCTTCAGGCTGAACAACCCCAACTCTCTCAGCTTTTCCTCACAGGAGAGGTGCTCCAGCCCTCTGGTCCCTCCTCTGGACTCACTCCAACAGGTCTGTGTCCTTCTTGTGCTGCGGGCCTCAGAGCTGAAAGCAGTACTGCAGGGGGGGTTCTCACCAGAGTGGAATAGAGGGGCAGAATCACCTCCCTTGACCTGCTGGCCACGTGGCTTTTAATGTAGCCCAGGATATGGCTGGCTTTCTGGGCTGCAAGTGCACGTTGCTGGATCATGTAGAGCTTCTCATTAATCAGCACCTCCACGTCCTTCTCCTCAGGGCTGCTCTCAATCCACTCTCTGCCCAGTCTGTATTTGTGCTTGGGATTGCCCTGACCCCGACTTCCCTAGAGAATGTGGCTAAAATTACCAGATATTAAAAATAGGCTTAAACCAAGCTATTTGTGCAGCTGATAGGAAAAAAACCCCAGCAGTATCATTAGTCACATTCTGATAATCTGAAAATACAATTTTAGGAGAAGGCAGAAATTTGCATGAAGACCAAACTGCCTATGCTTGGTATCCACTGCATTTTTTTATATATACTACATTAAGACCAAGAGTCTGTCTACATGGAAGAGTTACGCTGAATTATCTACTCTAGCATTTCTGTATTTCCTTCTCCTCTTCTTCTCAATGACAATATTTATATTTTTCTGGACTATTTTTATACAGCTACATTATATGATGTTCGCCCATCTGAAGCTTTGACAAATCACTAACACTGGCTGTCTGGGACTAAATACAGCCCTAACCACGTTGATCCTTTCGAAGATTTTCACCACTAACACTTGCTTGCTGGTGTTGTTATCAGGTTCCCTGAACATACAGGTCACTTAACAGCAGGTCTCATAAACCTCGTGACTATTAGTCTGAAAGTGCCTACAATTTAATATCAAAGTAGAAACTACATATGTAGTTCACTCATGTGCTACTCCAGGGACTTGATATGTACTAATGAACC